TTGGCTGCTCTCCTCTCTCGGGCCCTCTTGTCCTCGAGACCCGGCTTCGATTTCATTTCGTGCCCCCTTCCTCTATTCTCTCGCTCCTTTTCCCCTTTGTCCTCGTTCGTCTTCGACCTCTCCGCTCCTTTTCTCTGCCAGCCGTGCCCAGTTTTTCAGCGTGCGACGCGGCGCGGGGGTGGGAGCGGCGTCGATTTTCACGCGGGCCATATGTCCCGCGCACCTTTCGATCGAGGCTTGCTGCGGGAATATTTATTCCTAGGGAAATAGAGAATTCCCTCCCTTCGTGAGAGGCAGATGGCCCGTTGCCGCCGCCGCCTCTGCGGAGCAGGTAGCGGAGGGGGTGAGAGCCGGGCGGAAAGGAGCGCGCGATCACGGAGGAATGGACACCTGCTGCACCTAGGTGTCCTTCGGCCGTCGAACAACCACCGGTCGTTTCTTCCCTCGGTTCTCTCGTTCACGGTTACTACCCTCTTCGGTTCTCGGATCGCTCGTCGTTACGGTGATGGAGCTTTCGGCGTTTCTGTCTCGGATAGCGTTATCTCCTTCCCGGCGAAGAAATTGCGGCGGTCTTTACCGGCAATGATTTCTCTGTTACGATTAATTCGCCGCGATTATATAGATTACACGGAACACCGGGAGCAAAGAGGGGACGATATCGGGAATTGAAGCGTGCTCCTCCGAGAAATATATTAATGAGAGCTCGCGGGCTTCCTTTTACCTCCGTAATTAATAATTCATTCCCGCCGAACTCTCGCCGGCGGTCGTTCCGATCCGGAACTTCTTTTCACCGGAGACTTCCCAGACCAACGCCAGACCTTTGGCAACCCTGACCTCAGGAAACTTTCCGAAACGAGAATCAATCCGAAGGAACTTAATCTACCCGCCGCTACTGCACGAAACCCGATTCCCTCTTCCGAATTCTTAAACAATCCTTACCGCCGACTCGAATGGACCTCAGAACACGATAACGTACTATCGAATTTTACGATATCCAATCAACGGACGCTCGCCCCTCTGACAAACCATTAACCCTTTAACCCGAACGTCGACTGCAATTCAGCTCGACCGGTATCAATTGACGAAATTCGATATTCGGCATCAAACCCCGTAATACAATTACACGTCCAATACGAAAATAAAATGGCTCCGTCCCCCGGTACGCGCCACTTCCCTCTGGCACAATGAAAAACGTAATCAACGCTTGTACCGAAAAGAACTGCGGGCGTATATAACGAGGAAACTTTCGACTGCAAAGGATTAAATTGTCATTTCATCGTAATTAACGATCCGCCGGCGGTATCTCCTCAATGGGAGAGACCAACCCCCGAGGAAACACGGTGTTCTGCGGTCGCTGGAAAAATTGCCGGGGGTCGGCGGCTCGGGATGCTCGGTGAAAAAGCTCGGCAACCGCGACAGACGGCCGCACGAAGGTTCGGCAGTCCCATGGGCCTAGCCCGCGGCGGCAAGAACCACCTGCCGCAGAGGTCGGTGGGGGCAAGCTGTTCTCGCGCGTCCTACCTCTCTTCTAACCACCCCCCTCCCGCCCCTCGCCCATCTTGCGCTTCTACCCTCTTCCTTGGTTCCCGTCTTCATCATATCCTACCGTTTCCCTTCGGCCCTTTCTCTCTCTCTTCCCTCGCGCGTCCTTCTTCCTCTCACTCTCTCTCCGTCTTTCTGTCGGCTTCCCTCTCTCCGGCTCTCGGCCGAACGTGTTCTGCGTTCGTCTTCCGTCCCGGCTATGCCACCTTCGCTACCATCACCGCCATCACACCGCCGTACCTCACGGCTTCGGTCCGACGACCGTGGATCACGCCGACCGGTTGTATACAGGGTGTCCGGAAGAGAGGAAGACGCGAGGACGTGTCCCGTGTGCTCGGGGCAAACGAATGTTGCGCTCGTTCGAGCTCCGGTGAACGTACTGGCTTCAGGGGTAGACGTCGGGACGTCGAACGGAACTTGTTACTTTGTTGTTATTTCGTTCTTCGGTCCGTTGTTTGTAGTCTGATTGTTCGAATGACGTTAAAGGCGTGGGCTCCGTTTGATCGGTTGCGTGGTAAGGGGCATTTATCGGGGAAAACAGCGCGGCGTTGCCGTTCGGCGATTAGTTAGTTCGTTTCTGGGACACGTACAGCCGAGGAAAGTATCAGGGTCGTAGAGCAGAGCTCTAAACGCTCGAAAATGTGTCGTTTCACCTCGCGGCAGCGAAATTGGACCCGTTCGAGAGGGGGAAACGACCTCTCGCAGCCTGTCAAAGCTGTTCAGGCAAGGTAAAAAGCCCGGTGTACGTGGTTCGTGTGTTTTCTATTTCCACCGAGCGATAATAAAACTTCCACGAGGCCGGCCAACGCGGATATAATGTTTTAATTGCCCCGCCATTCCATTTTATCCGCGGAGGCGCGTTTCTCGATCCGCGGCGATCGACGATCGGATGGGTCTGCGGCTGATAGCGACGCCTTGTCGCTGGCCTGCAGCTCTCGAGCCTGTCCGAAACTTCAACCTTTCCCTCCGAGCGTTTTTAACCTACCAAAAAACTTGATCCGCCATGAAAATCCACGGTCCGCTTGTCGCACTTCGCTCGGTCGTCCAGAAAAATGGTTCCGTACTTTCACTCTTATACCTCTGGTTTTCCTGTCTCTTTATCAAACCTGGAACGAACGTTGAAACGTCGACGTCCGATCCAGTCGTCAGCCAAACTCGTGAATTCGAGGAGCAACGCGAAACGGACTTCCTCCGATTCCATCTCGCTAATCGCAGTGGAACCTACATCGAAAAACCCTATCGAGATGAACGAAGCGAGCGCGACACATTGCGCATTAATAATATCACGCAACACGTCGCCGCTGTTCCTCGCATAACACGAGGCCGGTTCGTTCGGTGAACGGGCGTTAAATACCCTAACCCTAACCGAGCCGTGCATTTCCAACACCCTGTATAAGCGATACGCCGCGCTACGAGCACCGAAAGAGTGGGGAGCGCGTTGCAACGAGAAGGGGGAGAGCAGCCGGTGGGGGGTAGGAGCAATGCTACGCGACCCCAAGCTCAGTCGTCGCGCGACCCTCGTGAAGTGTGTTTGTGTCGGGACATTCCTCGTTCTACGTCTCGATCCGTTACGTTTTACAAAGTGCTCCGGACGAGATCGCATATTCCAGTTGCCTCCGCCGCCGTTTCGAACTCTGCGAACATTTCGATCGCTTCCTCGATCTAGAACCGCGCGACTATCGCCCGCCGGAGGATCCAGGAACGGTTGCTCGCACGCGTGTGTTGAAACGGTCGTTGCTCGAAAAAGCGTGTCCAGTTGCGTACCGTCGCGGCTCGCTTAAAGGAGGAAGAGGTGTGCAGCAGGTCGCGCGTCGAGACGAAGCGCACAGTGTGCCGCTGGTGTACGCGCGCCGCTTGCAACGTGGCGTTTTGAAATCGCGCGCAAAAGGCGGTGCGCGAAGCGGCGCGCGCGCGGCCCCCGCGATCCGGCGCCGATGGGAATCGGCGCGCGAGGCCCGCGGTTCTCAGTGCACGCGCGTCCCCGTTGAGCAACCGCCGCGCCGCCGTCGATCGTCCTCGGCGATCCATCGACGAATCAACGGAAGATAATGGGATATCCGTTCCAGCGGGCGGATCGCGATGTCGGCGTAGCCGGACGGTCGTCCAGGTAGAATCGGCGGGTACCCCGACCTGCTCGTGAGCCGGATCAGGAAACCCATGAGGTTGCCCGAAGAGTCGGCGAGTGTTGTTCGCGGCGAACACGGGAAGAGGTCCTTCGCGAGTGACAGTGCTGGTTGCTTCGGTCCAACCGTCGTCGAACGATGATGCGCCGCGCGACGGTGACGTCGACGGTCCCGCGCGAGTAGCGATCGACCGACCGATCGATCTCGCGACCTGACGGATATACACGCGTCACCGGCCTCGCGCGACGTCGCACGTACTCGGTGAAAGTCGCCAGCGCGTACGCCGCTCCGTGGAATCGCACCTGAACGCGGACGGACACGACCGGCGGCGGACAACGACGGGTCTCGCCGTCGTCCCGACGACGCACCGGTAACGATCCACGATCGAATGGATAGGATACGGATAAACCGACCGCCGGGGACGGCGATCGTCGCCGTTTTATTGCTGATCCTCAGTCCCGGTGAGTATTCTCCCTTCGACGGGGACACGCGCGCCTACTACTATGCCCTCGATCGGGTTCTCAGCCGCTCGCTTCCGCCGCGCGGCTCGCCTTCGCGCTGGCCTCGCGGTTTCGTGTTCCGCGAACTCGAGAACGACTGGATCCTCGCATTCCGCGACGCTTCTCGGAACTGCGTGGCTTTTCAAGGTGAATTCCCGGAGATCTCGATGAGTCCTGGGACTCGTTCCAGGTTGGAATCGATACTTCGCGATTGGGCAGAATATAATGATACCTAACGTAGACAATCGTTCACTTGCACTTTGGTATCGTGTCCCATGGATTTGCTTCGTTGCGGGGTGTTTGGGAATTGTTGGTTGTAGGAAATGAATATTTATGAACGCTCTGACGAGTGGCGATGCGAGATGGAATTTTTGTAGATGGAAGACTAAGTTGAGAAATGATTTAATTCGCATAGCTAGAAATCAGTTTCCCGTTTGTATGTTAATTAAGAAAGATATATAGTTCGGCTTCATCTGCTGGAGGTTTTGTGTATTTTAAGGAATAGTCAGCGAAGGGTTAATCACGTCCATTATTTTGATTCATTATTAGGTCAGGCGTATTATGTAAGAGTCGGGTACTTTAAATTCCTCCGGCGGACTCCAAAATGGCGGAGTCGCGTTCGCGTGATGCCGGCCGATAACCGTTGACCCAATAGAGTCACGCGTCCGTGACACCGGCCGTAAACGCTTCAACGAGTAATTTCTCTTCTCTGGTTTTGACGTAATTTCACGAGGACTTTATTATCGTCCACGCTGTGTTGTATAAATGGGAAGGGAGGTTTGAAAGGGAACGGTCGCACAAAGACATTCCCTCGACCGACAGTTAAAGCCATCCGCGCACCGGAAGCTAATAATCTTCGCGACGACTATGTCGAAAAAGGAACTCGACGGCTCCGACTCGAGTAACAATCCCGGAAGAGATGTATTAATCGACAAACGATATTTTATTTCCGCATGGGAATCACCGCGATTAACCCGTGATCCTAATAAATACGAAAACCGCGTCGCAACTCGGCGCGCATTACACGTAGAATTACGCCGATGGCTGTTAAACCGTCGATTTCGAGAGCGCTATCGAGTAACCGTCATCGAGTAAAGCGTCCAAGTGACACAACATGGAAAAGACCGTGCGCCATTACATTTTCCCGGCGCTGTAACGGCGACAACGTTCTGTACTTTGCATAAGGAAAACCGAATTACTTGGCGGTTTATCGGACATCATAACGCAGGTTTCAGGATGGCCGACGAGGATACCTGTTTAAACTTCGTCGGCACTTCGCAAAGACGATACGTTTCACTTACTAAAACAATGGGATTACAAGGCCTGCTTGTGAAACAACGTTGACTTCATTCCATCAGCTTCCAAAGAAACTAATCCAATTACTCATGAAATCGTTAACAAAGAATCACACCTACTCGTTCAAATCAATCGAAATACAATCGAACCGTTACCAAATAATCACGAAATTCCCTATCCATCGAATCTCCTTATCACAAATCCAGTGTCAGTCAACTACCTCAGCCGATTTTCCACGATCTAGATCGTCCACCTCAGACAAATCGCTCGATAATTCGGATTCCTCGCTAATACACGCAATCTATATCGTCAACCTCCGCAGACGTGTTTCGAAAAGTTCCTCCCGGTCCAATTAGATCGGATAATCAAGATCCCAGCGGTATTCCGCGGCGATTACGGCGCAAAGACTCGCTCGGGCGTCGAGTTGTCGCGGTCCGGCCGCGACCCGAGACCGCGCAGCGCCGTCCTTTCAAGAAACCCGTTCCAGGCCGCGCCGCGAGGCTCGAAGGCCTCCTTTCCCTTGGCCAATGCTAACCGTTCGCGATCTCGGCGATCCTCGGGCTCGGAGTGTGTATCGTAACCGAGAACTGGCCGCGTTGCCGGCCAGCTCCGGCGCGTTTCGCCATTTTAGGGAGGCGCAACAGCTGCGCGTCTTAGAAATAGGACCGGTTCCTTTTTTCCCTCGATCGAGGCTGCTGGTTCTCGGCCAAGATGGATGGCTTCGCCGAAGACGGCCGAGCGACCCGATCAAATAGGTCGGCGAGGATTCCTTCGCCCGCGACCCGGGAGCCCCGGCCGCGTTCTAAAGATTCAATGGCCGATGTTGGCGGAATTGTAACGAGCGGAGCACACTTCCGGGAGCTTTCTCGATGGGAACAGGCTCGACCCGAGCGCGAACAATTCCGTGCGGCTGTTTCCATGGAAAAAATGGCCGCGACCGGTGAAATTTTAACGCCGCGCGATGCAGATTTCAGGGGACGAAAGAGCGCCGGTGAATTATTACCTCGGCGCGTTAATTATGCAGCGAAAGGTAATAGGCGAGCGTAGACACCGCTATCGATTCACCTGATTTCTTTTTGTTATTGACTCGCGGCCGGTAATTTTAACGCGCGGATCGAATGTGGAGCAACAGGCTCGAAAGAAAGGATAAATATAGAACCGGGAAGGTATGGATCGCAACGTAAATACACTCGATCCTTCCCTGTTCGTCTCGGCGACCGATGGAACGAAAATACTGGATTCCAATTAATCAGAGGCGACGCTCTCGCGTCCAATCAGCGGTGATTCGATTGTTGCCACTATAAAAAGCTCGTGTAAACGCATCCGCGTTGCTGCCTTCTAACGTTCCACGAAGCGGACTCCGGCTAAAAGTAAAAGTAAAAATGATATTCTATAATCGGGACCGCTCGGGATCGGGAATCTCGGTGAAACCGGGTCGGCACACGAAAACCTCGAGTTTTATACGTCGCGTATCGCATTATTGAACCGGTCCGGTCGATTCGAGCCGACCGCGATCGATACGAGCAGCGCGCATTTTCGCGGATCGCGCGGCGAGAAACCGAGCCCCGTCGAACCGGTCGAGGAAAAGTTCGCCGAGCGCGCGCGGCACGGGAACGGAAACCAGTAATTCCTCCTTTTGTTCCGAGCGGGAACGACCGCGCGCTCGATTTCTTGTAAACCCGCGCGTCACCGGAGAGACGCGCGCTCCAATTTTCGTTTTTACGCGGCGGCTCGGCCCCCCGGAATTGAACGCGGCGTCGCGCGGAAACCGACGACACCGACCGGGGGGAAAAAAGAAACAAACGTCACGGCGCATTAGTCGCGGAGTTAACAGTTATCGGGATATTCGGGGAATAATGCCGCGCGCTCGCTTCTGTCTCTCCGCGCGCCCTCCGACCGTTTCGCCACGAGCGGCTCGCACGAGCGCATCCAATCACGCGGTCGTATTGTTTCGCCGGCTCGAACGCCGGAACCGCCGGTTAAAACGACTCGCCTTTGAGCCTGTTCCTTTCGGAATTATGAGAACTCGACGCTTCCAACTTCCCGCGGATTGTTGCGAGCCGATTCACATGCGGCTGGGTGGCTGACAGAATTCTTCGCTCGTTCCTACTGGGAGTCGTTTTATTTTAGCGCATCTGATAATATTAAACTGACGAACTGGAAATTGTTTATTCTCGATGTACCGTTGACCCGCAATTTCGCGTGGAACTGTCCTGCCGCCGGTTATTATTCTGTAATTAAGCACGAAAGTGGAACGATCCGAGCGAACTTCGGTACACTTTATTTGCGCGTGATGGATTGCAATCAAACGTCGGACATCTTTTATACAGCTCCGAATATTTCGCGATATTCCATACCACTGCGTCCCGAAAATTGAAGTAACTAATGCAAACACGGTTAATTCGTGATCAATCAAAAACGCTTTACTCCCGCGCGCTCCCGGAATCGGTTCCCCGGCAGCATCCGCGTTTTCGACCGGGGAACCCGGACAAAATCCATTTACCTCGAGACTCTGACGTTAATAAGAAACCAAGAAACCCCGGAATAACGTTCATTAATCTAACAACTTCATATCCAAACTCGCGAACATCAACCGAGCGATTCCCCGTCGACTCCGGACGCGAACTCCGCGGAACTTGATCCCGGTCTTCGGCGAGAAAACCGAGTAACCGGAACTCGGTTAGTCTATTTCTCGATAGTTGAACAACGGTAACATCGATCTTTGACCGTACCGAAAACAAAGTGGCCGCTGTATCGTGGGCGGCGGCGAAGTTCGAGCCCATCGGGGTCGCGAGGTCGAAGAGGAGCGATCCGGGGATCTCCCCGGCCGGCTTCGTTGTCGTCGTGGTCGTCATTGGTGTTTCGGAATCCGGCGAGTACCATAGCTCACCGTTAATGGCCGCGCTCTAGGGGTTGTCTATTAACGCGGAAGGGTCGAAACGGCGGCGCGGAGGGCGGCGGCAGCGTGCGGCCCGTAAATTCGCCGGGAATGCGAATGGGGACCGGGGGCTGTGTTCGGCGTCGTTCTCCCGGTTCCGGGGGAAATATCGAACGACGCCACACGGCACGGAACGGCACGCCGTCAACGGCGTTAGGCATCTCCCTCCCCCTCTATCCAGTGACGTAGGCCCCTGCCACAGGTGTCTCCTCGCGAAACGACGCGTTAAACGCCCGGCCAGAGACGAGCCTCGGCCGCTTTCCGGCCGCTTCTTCTTGCACGTGTGTGTGTGCGCGCATTCTGCATAGGGACGTTAAGCCGCACTCGCGCGCGGAACAATGGCGGATGCCGGGGGAGGGAGGCCAACTGTCACCAGCGAACACAGCGACTTTTCTCGAACAATTTCGTCGCTGGCAACAGTATCTTTGACTGCGTTTCGCGCTGTTGTTCCACGCCAAATAGCCGGGAATGAACGTTTGTGCTGGAATGCTCGTTCGGGTTGACGAAATGTAATTGCGATGTACCGATGCTGAGAGCATTCGGATCTACAGTTTATATGGGTTGTGTAGGGTTGTTGATTGAAGGACCGGTTAGTTTTTGTTTGTTGTTCGCCGGTTTTCGTGGTTTCTAGGAGTATGGAGGAGTTTCTGGAAGGGGTGGATTTATAAATCGGAATCGTTGGAGAGTTGTGGTACTGGGGATTGAGGGAGAATTTCGACGAAGTGGAGAAATCGGGGATCATTGCTGAGGGTACTCATTATATAGAAGAATTTCACTTTTCACGCATATTCTTTCACTTACGAACGTAGCAACACCAGGTTTCATATATTCCAGATTCGGAAAATACGGCGATTAAACGTTTGTTTTACTAGAACAAGCTACCAATATTACGAATCCGTGTTACCTGACACAGATACGACAAACTCTGCAATGCAGTTAATAGATGCACTAGCGGCGACTATGCGGTACAAGTCTAAATATCGAATATTTAACCCTTAACGGACCAGAAGTATTTCAAGGTTTCCTACCGACAGGTTAGCTCTATAAAATAAAAGAATTTCTGCGATATACGCGGCACTGGACACAGTAAGTAAAAGAAAGGACAAACTAAATTATCTATCGAATGCTTAAATAATAGAAACGAGGAATCTGTACAACTTGGTATTCCAAATACGAACATCTCATCTCGCTAACTATAAACATTCCTCCACAAAGGGTTAACATCGCATTTCTCGCGACACGGAATACCATCTCAACGCCAAAAACAGAAGGCAAACATAATAATATTAACCACTTGCCTTATGATGTATTTCTCAAGTGTAATTGACACAACAGTTTGTCACTGACAATTTCCTAAGAAAACGAGAAAAGTTCTATATTCTATGCACATACTCACATAATAAGCAATTAATACCAGAAGAATAAGTCATTCGAATTGAAAGGAAACTCTTTAACCCTTATCACTCCAGATGGTTTTGCAACCTATCAGCAACTGCAATTAATTTTTATGGTACCTTTAGTGAAAATGAAAACTGCTATAACATACGTTCGATCTTTTAATAAAAATCTAATAATTTTGTAGTTTCTTTGATTCATTGAAATATTTAATATTACAACTGGTGCGATATTGGAGCCCACAGAGTTCAAGGGGTTAAAATGTTCATCAGGACTGCGAGAGGTTGTTACAAAGCGAGGGGTTAACGACAATACTAAGGATGATGAGGATCACGGTGGCGGTGATGATTATAATATTAGCGAGGATATATACAGCGACCGTAGTCTGTTTCTCGAAAGAAGACACTCGGCGGTCGCGTCGTCCGCCATAGCACCGCGCCCCCACTATGGCCACTCGACGCTGATGACATTCCAGCGTAGGTGGGATGCACGACGGCAGCCGTTCCGCGGCGTCTCTTCACAGAGCGTGTGCTCTTTCGAAAAACAGACCGTAACTCCTCCGTCGCCGCGTAGTTTCCACGCGATATCCCGGTTCGCGTCTCTCATTAGCAGGCTGCGGGAAGTTTACGAGTTTACGGCTGCTTCTCCCGTGACCTACAGAACACGGACGAAGATTTCGATGCGGAGTTAACTCCGCGCGGAGAGCAGCCTGCCTAACGTTCAAAACCATCCAACGCGGAAAACGAAATTCCCCGTGATTTTCTCGCTGAACCGTATCCCCGTCTACGATTCGCGAATTAACTCGCGCGCACAGGCATCCTTGATTGACAACGGCGCTGCTCGGAAAGTGTGACGGTTCTAAAGCCTCTGTTCTAATTGTACGTACAGGTACCTCTGTTTTAACACTAGCTTCACGAGACCCGCCAATTTGAAGGATACTGAATGTTTCGAACGTTATTTAGTAAGTTTCAGTCGGTTTTCATTCCAGCTACGATTTCCGCGATGTTCATAGACGAACGCGTAGTTTTCTAGGAACAGTACAACAAATCGTAGAACAAACGCCTGTGAGTCTAGTGTTAATTGACCTGAGGTCATTACCCTGGCGTTTGAACTAGACAAACAACTTTTCAAAATATTTATAGAAATCCCGAGAGTGCATCGAGCCTTCGATCAAAACTTAGTTTGCGTATACTAATGCAGTTTCCTCGGAAACTCCTTAGAGAAGGATCTACGATTTTCCGATAATTATAAAAGAATCTAGAAATGGGTCATTCTGATGCACCTGGTAGTTCTATTGTCAAGAGATCAGTAATCAGGATAATCACGATCGACTAAAACTACAAATACACAAGTCCTTCAAAAACCTCGAAATCCCGGCAACCCCGAACCACCTAATTACCTGAAATCGGCCGCACTCATCGGCGCACGATAACCCAGAAAAAGCACTAGAACGAGGATAATCCACGAAAGAAGTTTCCTGCAGCAAGGCTGCGTGCACGCGAGCAAGTAAGCGCGGTATCGAAAAGTAAACAAGGTGGCAAGGGTGCGCGTCCGAGGGCAAGGGGCTGAAGGGCGGAGGAGAGCACAGAAGAAGGGAACGTAAGCTGCGCCGGTGGGTCGATGGATCGAGGGGTTCGTTAGAAGGGGGGGCGAGGGAGGCGAGCACAAGAGAGAAGCTCCCGGATGGATTTATAGAGGGACA